GCCCGCTGAGCGGCCCCAGGCACGGCCGCCCCCGCCGCCACCTTTCTGCGCTCTCCGACGCCCCCGTTGCTCAAAGTTGGGGAGGGGAAACGCTGTCCTGCGCCCGGGCGGCGCTCGCAGGGAGCCCCGTGCCAGGGAGGGCAGCCTGACCCCTCCTGCAGCTCTGTGTTTGATCGAGGCACCTGCGACGCCAGCACTGTGTCCTCGAGGGTGCCTGGAGGGTAGTTAGTGGCTGCCGGGGGTGAAGGGTTAGAAAAAAATCCGTATCAAGGGGGCAGAGGGGAGCTTATTYCTGAAATTTAACCAAAAACTAAGTAAGAAATGGAGGTAGGGGGGGTGGGTACAAACTAAATGCAGGAATAGGTCCTGAGAAATAAAATACAGCTTGCAAATGCACACACAGTGCTAAAAAACATGCATATCAGTTCATCCTGTGTTTAAAGGGCCTAGAGTAACCAAAATAGCTGTTAGAAGTTTGCTATTATTTTGTATTTTGAAAGAAATTATTTTTTCTTCTCCTTTCCCCTTGTGTGATTGGCAGAAGGGGGAAGCAGTAGCTTCAGTTCAAGAGAAATAATGAGGCCCTCCACTAGRCAACAGCTTCCAGAACGTCTGTTCGAGTTTCATCTGTTACCTCAGGCTCAAACACCTGGAAATACACACCTGCAAACCTGTGGTTTTTCTTCAGAGGAACATCCACCATGATCAACCTCAATAGAGATAAGTTAGCTATGTGTTTATACCAATACCATATATTAGCCCTGTCAATAACAGCACAGCCTCTGTAACCCCACTTAAATTAACTCTACTCACCACACGGTGGAGAGCAACTGTAGAGAGATCTTGTTCCCTTTTTTCATTTTCTACTGCACTGAAGAGCTAACAGAGCTGTGAACTTGAAACAGCTTTTGTAAACRGTAACTGTAAAATAGGTAACAAATTGAACTGTAAAGGAAGCTGTTTTGATATCTCCTTTCTAAAACATTCACACCATATTCACTCCATTTCTAAGTGTTTTACACCTAAAAAGCTTGATTCCAGCAGTAAAATGACCGTGTGAAAGAGTACAGCCACTCACTGACTGCTAAGAAATCACACTCTGCTTTTGGACAACTGCCTAAGCAACTGGTAATAACAACTCTGGCATGGATACCAAACTTGTGCCTTGTCTAGTCAAGAGGCCACGCACCAGAAAWCTTTTCTTATTTCACATACACCAACCTCATATATGCATCAAAAAGGTCAAGAGGGAAGAAACACCGCATCATTTTTATTTATAATCCTTTAAAAATCTTCATAATTCAGCTGAGACTGTTGGGAGAACAGTAGCCATTTAACAGTCCTTGAACATCCTTATGAAATAAGAATTGATATGCTGAAAAAATGAGGTCAGAAGTTTTAAAACAAATTGTAACAAGTTACACAAGTAAATGCACAACAAGCAAATGAATTCCAATTCATTTGGAATTGAACCTACTGACCTTAAGGATACAACTGAGACACGAGTAGTATGTTTTACATTCTAGTACTTTGCTGAATTTGAGCTTACGTTGCTATTCAAAGTGCTGGACCTGTTTATAGGGCTAATTCTAAATAGATTAACATGTAAAACATGTTGTCAATTAACATAATAAAATTATAGCTTTATTATAAAGTAAAATGAGATTTCTTTTGCTCAACAGCATGTATCACAAATGATAAGAGTTCTATGCTTTCAGTTGTAAATTTACTCAAAAAACTCTTAAGACTAATCATTTGATCTACTTAAACTAAATACACGGGTGCATTTACACTTTCACAATAAAGATTCCTTTACATTTATTTATGATTGATGGGCTTGTCCAAATATTTTCAATTAATGGCAATTAATTCAAGTAGTTCAAGCAAATCTTCAACGAGTGACTCTTTAGCCAAACTAGTCTTCAAGTATATTGGGAACAAATCAGAGTCAGTCAAATAAAAAAAAAAAGAAAAAAGACTTGATTACAAATACTGTTGGTTAAGGTAACTTCAACAATTACTTGAGTAATTACTCATCATCACAGGATACTCCAGTTTTTAACATTCTGTTTCTCAGATTATTACCATATTAAATAGACATTAGTCCACATCTTCAGCATGAGGTTCTCCTTCCTTTCTTTCTAGATCAAGCACCTGCAAGTTAACAAGAAATGGATTCAGTAATAAAAACAAGTTGAACAACTTGTTAAAAAAGCATTTTCACACTTCCATCACAAGTCAGCACGGAGCCCAGATTTAGCAGGAACTGACAGTGGGACATGCTCCAGGGAACAGCTGAGCTCAGACTGCTAGTTGCAGTCAAAAGGGAAGGTCAAACCTCTCCTCCTCCCAGACTGAGTTCCCAGCAACTTTCCTGTCAGTTCCATGAATGATTTGGCTGACCAAGGAGTGAGACAAGTGCCCCAGCCACTCCAAGAAAAGTCTGGAGAGACAGAGAAGGAGGCAGGCCTGCCCTTTTCAAAGGCAGTGAACTGTCAGATAAGATGAGCCCTAACCTGAACTCTGCACTTAACAGAGGGCTTAGAATTGTTAAAAGTGAACACAGGAAACACTTCTCATACATGCACACTAGTATGTCAACTCATGGAGAATACACCAACAGCAGCAGTTAAACATGATGTTTATCTCTGACTACAAAAAWCCAGTCTTATATCCCCCAAAGCCTATGGGGATATGCAGGAAGGATGAAACTACAAATACACTGTTCTATTTTTTCCTCTTGTATTTTTCCTCAACAACTGCTACTGCTCATGAAATAAATGCAGGAAGATACTCAGGTTGACAAGCCTTTCGATTTGAATACAAAGTCATAAAAGAAGAGAGCGTTCACCTGTTTATCTATACACCTAAATTGCCAGGACCAGGTAGTGTTATAAAGGAAAGGCCTCAGGTCAAATCGGTTGTCATCGGGACTGTAGTTTTCAGCATGGTACGCAGGAGTGAGAACGGTCATTTTATGTCTGTTAATGGAATACATCCTGAAGAAATGCTTAACCTTTGATGCCACCTGGTGTACAGAGAATATAGTTTCAATCAGCTGAGAGTATTTAAAATTTTGGATGAAAATAAAGTTGTGGAGACTTTATATATCTGTTTTGTTTCATTAATTTTATATAAATTAGCTACCATTACTGATGACTATCTATGATGGCCATTTATACCATTTCATAACAACATACTAGTCCCTGTGCATTTTTTCAAAGCAAAGACCATTTTCTGACTAGAATACTGAAACAAAGGATTCAAGAGTAGCTGACAGTATATACTTCAGAGAAGAATTTCCCCTGAAGACATAGTTCTATAATTTTCCAAGAAGCCAGTTATGGTCTAACAATTTGCAGCAGAGAGAACAGCTACAATCAAGAGATCTGTAACAGTTTTTCCATCATGTTCTGTTACAGATACCAAGTATTCCTGAACACAGAAGAGTATTTATTCCTTTCAGATGAAAGCAGCTCATTTTGACCTTTCTACAAACATACACTGTGTTGGCAAAGGTACTTAAAAAAAAAATAATAATAATTTTAGGTATTACCTCTCTTGGAGTACAGATCTCCTTCCAGATACTAATCAGCTTACAGAACATACTGTATGGTCCAGCCTTCGCAATTTTTCTTAATCTGCCATAGATGGAGAGCTCTGCATATGTCATTCCCATATCTGCCTGAAATTGTACACGTAGAAAGTTAACGAAAATCTCAACTTATGCAAATTAGGAATAATTTTATGAGTGATTGTAATAACGCAGTTAAAGAAATACCAAAATGAAAATGCCRCTTATCAAACCAACAAAGGAAAGCAGTATTACTGAGCAGAAAGAAGGGGAAAATAAACTGCTCTGTAATATTAAAATTCTTACAGGAATATATTTTAATTAAATTTAAATTAAGCTACCTTTTGACTTCCCAGAAAATTTGCACTATCCTACAGTGCTCAGAGGCAAATGCTAAGTCCACCCGTTCCTTTTACATCCAAGTGGGTAACAAAAAGAATGGACAGATGACAGAGCACCAGTCATTTTGAAATCAGTTTACAGCTCTGACTATTTTGATACTAAACTTTAAAAGGGACTGAATTTCAAAAGATTTCAGAACAGCCTCCTTCTAACTGCCTTTTATTTTTCCTAAAATAAAAAGTTATCCAGAAAATTATTTGCTATTTCAGAAATTGCTGTCAAAACAGACAAGGCTGGTAYAGACTGTGAGGACGACACACTTGTCTATAAGCCAGAATGCAAACACTAGCACATTACTAGAAAAGAAACAAATTTTTGGATAAGGCTTACCAGAGCATTTTAAAGTCACTGCCATTTACCTCATCAGTTTGAGACAACTGTCCATCCACCAAGGGCTCCAATTCTGCAGTAGGAGGAGCTGACATGATGCTATAAAAGGAAAGAGAAAAGAAAAACATGGAAAAACATGAAATCTTCCCAGGCACATTAGTCGGCTGATGATTTTTTTTATTTAAAAAAAAACAAAAACAAAAAACCTTTACTTAAAACTTTTTCAGAGCATAAGCTGAAAAATGACTAGATGGCCCTAAACAACTGCTGATCTTGCAAGCTGTTCCAAGTTTAAAAATCAGAGCTTAAACTGAAACCACGAACTCGCATTTGTCCAAAGAGGGACAAGAAAAAATATAATGAAGTCTTCATAATTAAGCTACATATGCACAATCACTTCTGCAGCTGAAGTCTTCATAATTTGTGATTTTAAACCGTTAGAAACCTGTAGTTCTACATTCTCCCAAAGCCTATCCAGAATGGCCCCAAAATGGAATATAGCCTTTCCTAGAGCAAATTTTGATCAGCTTCCAGTGCGGTTCCTCCAGTGGAATTAACAGCGCAAGTTCTTGTACACAGTAACTCCAGACTGGCAGTGCTTTCAGCATTTGGCCATTTACAGTGTCCTGTACGAGTGCAAACAGTCTTTTAAAGACAGAGCAATGTGCAGAGGACTTCATTAGCACCTGCAATATTACTCCTGGAGCTAGGCTGCAGTAGAGAGACCCAAACTGGGAAGACCACAACATGCATCGTGCAGATACAGAGAAGTCTCTGACCATCACTGTTCCTCTACTCACCTCCTGAGGGATGTGAGCTGAAAGTTTTCAATGCAATACTGTATGAAGCTCTTCAGATCAGTCTTGCTGATGCCACCAATTGGGTTGATATCAGCACTGGAACAGTCATACTTTGTCAAGTATCCTCGGAGACTGGGCAAGAAAGGGAATTTTATATAATAGTAGTACGTAACAGCATCACATTAATATGATATATAAATAGCTTATATTATATATAGCGTGCACATAGTAAAATAYAGGGACAAAGATTACATTCTGCTAACACTATCTATTTATAAGGGACAAAGAGGTGTCTAACTGCAACAGAACTGTGCTAAAACCATTAAACTGTCAAGAGGAGGAAGATGGTATTTTGAACACTTAAGAAAGACTGAAATTATCCATGCTGAGGTAGGATATTTAATGTAAAATAATTTAAAAAGTGCYTTCATTCCTCCTGAGAGGACCTAAGCCCCTACAGAAGCAATGCTCATTACACTCCCATCTTTTGGGGTTCAGTCCCACACTCTTACAAGGATCGCATTTATCTTTAAGCAGACAGTTCTAGTAACAGTAGTCTAAATTTTGAAAATTTGTTTTTCCACTCAAAACTTCTTTCCTAATAGAGGAGTTGAAAATGAACCAAGTAACAGATAGGGAAAGATGACCCATTAGCTACGCAAGGTAAGCTCTAGTAAAACTTGTCGATGAAGGAAYAGCAGTTCATTAGAAAACTGCAGCAATACTTTAATTCTAAACTTATGAAAAATACAGTTTGACACCGAGTTGATTCTGTTATTTAAAGTCTACTGCCATCAGTGCACACTTAGCTTGTCGCCTCTTCTGAGTACTGATCTATACTGGGATTTGGCAGCATTGCAAGTAATTGCAGTGACCTATTCTCAGGTCGCTTGGTTTTATGTTTCTAACTCTCACCAACCCTTCGTCCACATTGGATGATCCTAGCACCAGAAGTCCCCCAGGCATCCCACGAGTCCAAAGGGTCAGCTGAGCAAACAGATAGGCAAGAACCATTCTTATTCGAGCCTGCAAGGCAAAAAGAAAAAAAAAAAAATGAAGCATCTTTACAAAGCAAAAAACATTTTTTCCCCCATTCAGCATATTAAGTCTTGACCTGTAACAATCCTACTGGACTCATGACTTGTCTGTTAGGCTAGTTTATTGCACATTTTTCTGACCTGGCTACCTATCTATAGCTTGATGTTTTTCTCAAGAAGGATCTAAGCAGATTTAGCCTACATGCACACACACCTGCACGTTCTGGAGTGCCAGATTTTCTCTGCTGCTCCCTCCGTAGGCAGAAAAACGGGGACTTTGGCCTGTCACCAAGCTGAAAATTCCCACAATAGCTTTCACAGCTGCATCTATGTTCAGATTGATGTGATAGCTGAGAAGAATTCAAGCAGAGAAGAATTCAAGCAGAAGTCACTCAACTAGTACAGTATGGGTCTAAAAAACAATGTTTAAAGAAAAGGCGAAAACATGTTTTAAGCCTCCTACCATCTCAGATCTGGTCTGACAAGCCTTAGGAAAGTAGCACTTTCCAGAGTCAGGAAATGTCATTTCCTGAGAATCATTTTTTAATGAAATCTTTGCCAGAAGAAGATTCTTTCCCATCACTTGTCCATCTTTACCTGCCTATTTGCTCAGCCAGAAGCTTGGCCCTGTTGCAGGTTTCCTGGGTGGAGTTCTCGCTAGCCATGTAGCAGGTGGTGAAGATGCGCCCGCAGAATTCCCGGGGATCTTCGGGGACGTAGGCCTCATCGTTCACAATCCTACGGGCATCGGCCAGCACCTCTGCATCTGAGCAGAAAGCAGAAGAAACGGAGCAAGAGAACTGGCTAACAGCATATCCTGGGGAACGACAGCACCGCAGATCTCTCATACGTGTCTCTTGTATTCCAACACTCCATGCYAGACAATCTCACCACATCTAATTACGTTTTGTAGTACTGCATTTCACAGAGAGGAAAAAAATCTCACAACAAACAAAAATCCCTAAACTTTTATCAATCAACATTTTGAACAATACTCTAAAAAATAGTCTGAATTTTACAACCGCTCTCAAAGCCAAAATTAAAAGTATTAAGTCAATTCATAAATCTTGACACCCAAATCCATTTTTTTTTTTAAATCCCCAAAATTCCATAAACGACTCCTTTGAAGAAAAAACAAACAACCCACAACACACAACTCTGTATATCTGACCTGTGCATCGATTGCACCTAGATATTATTCATTTSTCCTTAATTTTTAATAAAAATGACTAGCAGGCATGCATATCTACTTACTTCCATTCTTGACTGCCAGGCAAACCTGGTGACACATGGAATATCCTATGCAAGCTGTAGCGGAGCTGTCAATTCCACCACTAAGAGGTAGAAAAAAACCTGCCTTGAAAATAAAGCAAAGAAAGAAATTCAAAAAGAAGCATCACTGGGGGAAGGAGAGGGAAAAAGAAAGAAAAGGGTTTTACCACTCACACACACGCATGTTAAAGAACTGTACATGCATCATTCAAGTCCACTGGGAAGGAAAACAAACAAGAACCATACAGATCCAACAGATCCTCTCAAACTCAACTAGACATCCTAAAATCATTATCTGGATTATCTACTGGATAACCAAACAAGAAGTGAACAAGATTTTTGCTAGACAAAYTGCCAGCATGTATTTACCCTTCAGTAAGGCTGAAAGGCTAATAAAGACCAAATCCTTCACATATAATCCACTACTAAACTGAATCTCAAGTATTTTATCTCATCCTGCTTATTTTTAACAGCAATTCACTTATACCATTTTTCTTACAAAAAAATAAAGAGTTTGAGAGAAAGAAATTCCCTTTAGTAAATGAGCTTGATTATTGCTTTCAAAGGAAGATAACCCTAAGGGAAACTCCGGAGAGAATATTAAAATCTTAACTTGCATATCCAAGTTCGAAAGAGACACCAGCAGGAAACACTACCTCTGTACCTYGGATTAACAAATCGCTCTGCATTAAAAGCAGCACAGAACGAGAATCAGTGCTGTCCCTGCAGCACAGAAGGCACACACATAAAAGCAAAGAACAAAAGCAGTTCTTACCTGTTTGCTGCGCCGTAAGAAGTCCCAAAGCCAACACGCAGGGCCAAGGCTGAAATTACAAAACACATATGTTCCAAGTGGGTTAGGGCATAAGAGCTARGTACTTGCTATGCTATTTTGATGAGATACTTAACGAAAGGTACTATGTACCCCTCCATCTTCTAATCAAATCATTTTTGATTAACAGATTAAATATATGCTTACCAGATCTCCTCCTCAGGGCTATGATGTCTCCACTGAATGGGTATATAAGCGGGTACAGCCACATCATCAGAATCTGACAGCTCAAAATTCACTTTTATCCGGGGATAGGGACACACTTTACTTGCCTAAGCACAGAAGAATTGGGAAGACAACAGTTTTAATGCAGAATATGCCTATAAAATATCACACGCTATATTATACTATGGAAGTCAACATGAGCAAATGCTTTTTCAGTTCAACAACTGTTCAAACTTGGCAGAGTTTACAAACATAATCCATATAATGAATTCTTACCGCTAAGTTACGAGATGAAATCTCTGCTCTGTAACTTCGGACATCCTCTAAATCCAGTGTGGCAACCAGCACTTCCTGCAGAAACGTTGTCAACACTAGACTGATTCTACACACACGGATAAACACTCTCCAACAGAGAGAGAAAAGTATTTAAAAAGAAAAAATGTAACCTTTTCAGTATTTCCTATGCTGACTTTACCCACAAGTCATCTCCAACTTAGTAGAATTACTTACATTACAAAGTAAACAGAACCAACTCACTTCAACAAATTCACTAGGAGGACCATGACCCCCAGCAAACTTATATCATATCACATCAGTTCACCATTAGTTGTATAAGAGGACAGGAGAGCATATTGGGGATGCATATTGGATGCATATTGTAAGCAGCATATTGGTGATGGAGTTTGGCACAYGACTAATCTGCTAAGAAAACAGTTTTCAAGTCAAGCAAAACAAGCTGGGCTTCTCCTAAGCATAGTGATTGCATACAGAAATATTCTGGGGAAGAGGTTCCTCCCCGTGACAACACTTCCTCCCTTGCAAAGGCAGCAGAGCTCCCAAGCAGTTCAGTCAATCTACCCGTGGAAAGCTTTGGATACAGATGAATAGCAAAGTCACGGCACATCCACCTGGACTATAGGAGATATGCAARCAGCATCAGTAGGATCTCTTTCATATCCTGAGCACACATGCAGCCCTACTAGCTTCAGCTACAACAAACTATTAGGTCTAGTACATTACCACGTCATCAAGAGAAAACTGGGATCCTTGCGCAACCGTGTCTCCGTTCATGGAAATCATGGCACACCCGTCATAATACAGACGATCACCATCACAGCCCTTCTGGTTAGCCAGAAGATAGATGCCACCATTCTGGGAGGAAAACCAACAGACATCAAGATTAATTTATTTCACTGTTCCTGCCCTTCTTCAGGTGCCAAATGGCCTCCTCTGCTGCTTTGCTCCACGGACCAGGCRGAGCTGACAAGCCACCAAATTTTATCTGGCACATGGGGAGGAAGTGGCAGTGCTTTGCAGCAGAGCCTGCTGCACGGCGGGGACTCCAGGGAAGTGCAGCTCCCCGAGGGCAGGGCCCGTCCCCTTCAGCCTATTCAATGAATGGAAGCAATTGCACATAGCAAAACAAGGAACCAGGGCAGCCTGACAGGACCACCAAGCTCCTTTAGGAAGGGAGCACTACATCCTGTCACAAAAGAGGAAAGCCTCCTTAAAAAACAAACAAACAACAAATTCCCAAGCTACCTCGATTTTTTAAAGCCTCTACCTTTGCTGTGGCAGAATTCACCAAATCCACGCGCGTGTGAGCCTTCCGCAGCACGTGATGACTCCCGGACGAGTTGGTGAAAATTTCCACCCCATCGAGTCCCATTTCAATATGAGGGCTGCCAAAGCGAAAGGCAGAAAAACACTCAGCTTGCAGTGCTGGGAAGGCATTGAATCCCAGGGACAAATGAAGAACAYCTAAGGCACTGCAAACTTTATGCAAATCTCAGCTCAAGCAAAGAAAGGGCTCACAGCACCCAGCCTTGCTAGAGTCTCCCATTGGGACAARCTCCTCTAAGTGCTCCTAACTTGTCCCTGCACACCAGCACAGCCATTACCTCTACAATCAGTGCCAGAAATGGCAATGAAAACTTGCCACTGTTTTTCCTTCGGCATCTTTCCCATGACCTACTGCCTTCTCCTCACTACCTTTAGCTTACTGGCACTGTCTGAAGAATATATTCATAGAAAAAAAGTCAGAGGAAGTGTATTCAAGAACGTTTCCTTTTGACACCCCAAGGGTACGTTTTATCCACCTTTTAATTCCTTCTCCTTTACCTGTTTGGTGCCCAGAGTTCTTCACACATTTCAGTCCCTAAGCAGGTATCTTTGGTTGCGAGCACTGCATCCCCAAAAGGAACAGTTTCCTGACAAAAATAAACAAATAACAGGCATGCATGTAATGCACGAGTCTATGGCACAAGTCAAAAAAAGTTAGCTACCAACACACACAAAAATAAGTCAAATGTTTATTTCTGCAAAGCAAGTGATACAGTGTCAATGACAATATTTTTATACTCTACCCTAGACCCTACTCTTTATAAGGAAACACTTCATTGCAAACATCTGAATTGTAATGAAATCCAGAGGGATTCTGATCCAGGGTTTTAGGTCAGGATTCCTGCTTTTAAACTAAATGCCCTACAAGAGAGGCTGGCTTTAGCTAGAAATCACCCTGTACTTAAGGAAGAAGCGAAGAGTTTCAGACCTCCTTCTTATTCAAGACAGATAAYGTCTTACTGAAATTGGTAACCTCAAATCAAGTGTCAAGCACAGATAACCTGTCTAGTCTGTGCTGCTCAGCACAATCCTCAATAACTCAGGGAAACTCTGAACTTGCTCTGGCACCAAGTACTAACATAATAGAGATTAAATTAGGGTCTCAATTAATGCAGCCGAGAGTCATCATTGAAATTACCAAATCTTCAATGAGATKGAGAGCAGAATTAGGTCTACTACAGTTTTATTCCATAAATTGGTGAATCTAAAAGGCAGTAAAGTTGAAAGAAAAAAAAAATCCTTAAAATTTACCTGTCCTGTCACTTCCTGAATTATCCTGGGTAGAAAATATTCTTCCACATGCCTAAAACACAGGTTTATAAACTGTGAATAGTTATAAATCAGATCATAAAATATATATATGTGCGTATATATATATTCTAATCTCCACACAGCATCACTTAACTTAAAGTCTTCTATACACAGCCTGTACAAATTAAGTATTTTTTTAACCAATGTTAAAGTGATCAGAAATTCTAAGATTATGAATGAAGAACATCCCAATTTGCTTTCATAACTCATGGTAAGCAAGGAAGAAGCAAGGGGAAGGAAAAAAGAAAAATCAAGCAACAACAACAACAAAGGATTGAATAGGACCATTGCAGTCATCTTCACAAGAGTTAAGAGGGTGCAAAGCGAGAAAATAACATCTCTTTAACAAAAAATATAACTGAAAAAAGGTAAATACTCTAAGTGCACTGCCTTCATGTTCTCCTCGCCCGAGCTTTTACTAGGGCTGACAAAGAGCACATTGGGCAAGACAAACACCAAATACAAAAAAAAAAAAGAGCTTTTTTAGGGCTCTCACACTCATCTCAGAAGTACTTTGGAGCTGACTGTGGTTAAGAGGGCAGCTGCTCAGAGTTTCCCTCAGAAGCATCTGACTAACTTTATGCAACTCAAACAATGTGCTTGCTGCTCACCCCGGAGCAGCGCTGCTGTTCTGCAATAGCGAGGTCAGTCCTTGGGCTGCGGCTGCAATGGCAGGCTGGGCTTTTAACACCGTTTGCACAGGATTTTATGGGATTTGGCGCACCTTGGTTTGCTCCATGGGGTAAACCAGCGAAGTTCCCTGTAGTTTCCTGCATTTGCCAGTATTGTTTTTGGTCTGATCAGAAGAATTTTTCTTTAAACGTGAAATAATATGAAAAGAGAAACAGTGAGTTAAGATTTGATATGCGACCAAATATTAAATAAAAACACTTCTAAAGAGCAAATCACTCATTTTTCCCTAATGGAAATTAAATATATAATCACATATAATCATTTTATACAGCTTCTGTCTGCAGAGATTGTAAGAGTTCTTTCTGGATTCTAGGAATTGTTTCAGAAATCCTGAAATCCAGTTTTTACAAATTCAGAAAGCAAAGATAAAGATAACAGAGGGCATTATCACTCCGAAACAGCTAGGGAGATGCCTGCATCTCTTTTTATTGCACTAGGGAGTACTTTTCCATGCTCTGCATGAAATTCCCTRTGAAATTTCCTGGGCCAGGCAGGCCTGTGATACTCAAGACACATCCACGAGGCGCGTGCGGAGGAGCCACGTACCCGTTCAGGAAGATCACTCGGCAGTTGTAGCGAACGTTCCGGTGCATAACGGGCCTGCGGAGACCGGGGCAGGGCTGGGGTGCAGCCGAGGGGGACTCCCGACGGCCGCGGACACTTCCCACAACAGGGAATCTTCACCCGCTCTTYATATACACGGCACCGTCCCGCGCGCGCAGGCGCCGTGAGGGCGCGCGGGGAGGCGGCTTCCCGCGCTCCCGTTCCCGCGCCGCCCGCTCCCGTTCCCGCGGCCGCGGCACTCACATGCCCACGTCGCAGAGGATGTTCCGGGCGGCCGGGGCGCGCAGCAGCTCGGCCAGCACTTGGCAGCAGTGCAGCAGCGTGTCCGACTCGAGGTAGTGATCGGCGCAGCCGTAGCCGCTGCGCGCAAACACGGGAGCGGCGCTGCGCGCTCCGCAGGCACCGCTCCCGGCCCGCTCCCGGCCCGCGGGCACTCACCAGATCTCCAGCTCCGGGCCCAGCCGGTACCGCGCGCCTCGGCTCCTGGCGACCTCGATACCTGCGGGGGAGACGAGGAACGGAGCCCGCCGTGAGGGCCGCCCCGTCCCGCCCCGTCCCGTCCCGTCCCGCGCCGCGCCGCCGCGCCGCTCACTCGTCAGGATCCTGCGCAAGTTGCCGTCGAAGTCCAGCGCCCACTGGTTGAGCGCGCAGGCGGCCACGGTCACCGCGCGGCCCATGGCGCCAACGCCGCCGCCCCGCGCCGCCGCTTCC